GCGCGGTCTTCGAATGTCTGCACAACTGAGTATAGATTCGCCTCTGGAGAAAGTAATTTTCTACCGATCGGTTAGTGTGGTCTGTATTAGCACAGTGGTATTTCCGAAGTGCTCGCATTTTGCACCTGATTACTTCCGTAATCGAGCAACGGGCCCAGCCCATGTAGGCGGAGATCAGGGAAGTTCAGTCCTGTGGGCTACCTGTATGGACCGTAGACCCCCCAGCGCCTCTTCTTTCCTCCTAGAAAGTCCCGTTTATTGGGCACAATGATAGATAGGCGCTCACCGATCGGTTACGGGACTTACTCGTCTCGTTCCGCCTAGGATATGACTGGCTAATGACGACTAATAAACCAGAAATGGCAATGCTAGTCTCTCTATTCTTTGTCGGTAATATTCCTGTCTGACGACGAACAAGTGATACCTGTTCGAAAATTTACGAGTACAACTCGATTTTCCGAATATCCTTCTTTTCATCAGATCATCTCGGAATGCAACTTACTTCACTTATCCACTGTATGAACTGTTGTTTTTCTCAACATGAATCATGCTCATCAGGTAATAATGATTGTCTGACCCCAACTTCAACAATCCATACTTCATGACAGTACCTTACCCACTTTATCGACCAGCTTACCACGGCGCGGGCTGTCTTGCTGAGGTAATAATAATGTGTTCATGTCACTAGTATTACTACCACTAATACTGCTACTACTGCTACTATCGTAACTGTCGCAGAACGGAATAGTAAGTCCAATCCAGCTGCCTGTTCGTCGCACCTTCTTCAGCATGAAGAGTCGGCCTAACTAAGAATCCCACCACGTAACCTTATTTGGTGTTACTGCTTCTGCCATCATAACGAATGTGCATTTCTGATAGAGCTCACTTTCACTCTCTCTATAAATGCCTTGTCGCCAACTTGCTGGTGTACTCTACAGTCCGAGTTAAGCATCATTTCCAACTACTGCAAAATCTTCTCCGTTTTGCAACCTTGGCGGTAGTCTTTGAGATCGCTATTGATGGTAATCGCGTGTTCTTACGTTGTCGCCAACTTGTCGGTGGACTTTGGGGTCTAGTGGGTCACATCTCGATGATGTTGCCTTGACTTCTAGTGTCTCCTCCTCGATGCGATCTTGTTGTCCCGGATGACCCCTTCTTAACTCACCGCTATATTACTTTTCCCATGACAATAGACATCTCAAACCTTCAACAGCAGG